GAGAGAGAGAGAGAGAGAGAGAGAGAGAGAGAGAGAGAGAGAGAGAGGAGAGAGAGGAGAGAGGATAAAAGAAAAGAAAAAGAGGAGGAGAAAAGTGGAATAGAAGAGGAGGAAGGAGAGAAGAGGAAGAAAAGAATCGGCGGAAGGAAGAGAGAAAAGAGAAGAGAAGAGAAAGAAAATTGGAAGGAGGACGGACGGACGTGGAGTGGTCGTGGAGAGACGGTGTTGAATCGGTGGAAACGGAAACGCGAATGGCCGAGAACGGTAGCAGGGTGTACCCGATTACGACGGCGGTCCATCTTGCGGGCGAGATCGATCCTGAAACAGCGGCACCGGCTAGTTGGTAATGGGGGGTTTAGGCGAGAATGCCTTTTCCCTGTCGTGGTCGTGGTCGTGGTCGTGGTCGTGGTCGCCGTTCCATACCGATATTACTTCCCTCTCGACAACAGGTACGTCCCGCCGTCGTGGTACGCGTCCGATTCCCGTATCTTCCCCTACGTGCCTACGTCGTCGTCGATCCGAGACAAGGACACCTTCGCGCACCTTCCTCCCGTTCGATCGTCGGACCTGTCGACCTCCTCGAATCGGCTCCTCCTCCTCGGTCTCTCCTCGCTGTGATCGCCGTGGTCGCGGTGCTCGCCGCGGCACGGGCAACCCTAGGATCGGGGGCGAGCGTGGTGGCGGTAGCGGTGGCGAGTGCGATCGCCGATCCACCGGAAGAGGGAAGGTGGTGCTGCTCGAGCCGGGAGCGGATCGAGAACAGGAGAGGAGGAGTAGCGGGGGAAGGAGGAGGAGGTGGTGGTGGGGGTGGAGGAGGTGACTCGCCGCCGAGATGCACCAGGTGTCGGTGTACGGAGCAGGACTCGATTCGAACGCAGATCGAAACGAGAGATTGTGGGAGAAGATCGAGTACAGGGATCGGCGTGCCGGTGAACGACGACAATCTTCTTCCTCGGCCTCGACGGCTTGCGCCGATTCCCCCGCCGATCGATCGCCACCATGCCGATCTTCTCGCTCCTCGCTCCCCTCTACCAGAGTTTTATTCAGATACAGAGGGTCCCTCGTACCTTCCAACGTTTTCCTCATAGGGTTGGCGCTGTGTTGTCTAACCTTCTCCCCCGTACAACCCCGACAAAATCATCATCATCAAACTTGTCCGGGTTGTCCGCACCAGCATCAACAACAACAACAACAGCAGCAGCAACAACAACATCAACAACAACATCAACAACAGCAGCAGCAACAGAGAGAGGAAGAGGAGCGACAAGAGCAACACATTCGTCGGGAGACGCATGAGAGGGGGGGCGGTGGTTGGGAAAGAAAGGAGGATACCGCCGCGCCCACCCCGGACGACTTGAGATTGGAGGCTATCAAGCATCAAATCCTGACTAAACTCGGGCTAAGAGCGCGGCCCGATGTGAATAGAACTTTGGCCACGGTACCCAGGCATTTGGCTCTCGAGACGTTGTACAGGGCCGAGGCGCAATTCTCCCGCTATCCGTTGCCCGACAATACGAGAAACGATCGTCGCAACGAGAACGTTTACTCGACCGAGTTTCTTTACGGTGGCAACGAGTATTCGTATTCGAGGAATCTCGATCAACGAGCGGACGACGAGGACTCTGCCAAGGATAACGGGAGAATCGCTTCATCTTATCGCGGGTACGAGGGGGGAGAAGGCGAGGATCGAGAACCGGAAGAAGAGATAGACGACTTTTACGCGAGAACCTCGGAGATCATCACGTTCGCCGAACCTGGTAAGTATCCTCCCTTCCGATCGATATCCGGATCGATATTCGCACGATATTCGGTCGAGTCGAAGCGCGCACGCGCGCGCAACCTTCGCACATCTTAGGTATCGCATCGTACCTACCCACTCCCGTCACGCACGACTCGATACGACTCGATTTTTCTTCATCCCTCCCTTCGAACGAACGTTCGAAGAAAAAGGTGGCGAAAATCATCCATCCATCGTTTCGCGCGATTCCCCCCGCGATCCCTACGATACGACAACGACATCAAACGCTCGAAAATTTCGCGATCATTTTTTTCACGAGAGGGGCAGAGAGAGAGAGAGAGAGAAACGATCCACGGGTTGTACGTAAAGGGAGTGTACGTATATTACGTATATACAATTCGATCCATCGACTCGACCATCGAATCGGCCTGTTGCTCGAATGAGCGAGCGAACGAATTCGCGAAAGAACAACGAGAGATATTACTGGTGGAACATGGAAGAGCGAGAGCGAGAGAGAGAGAGAGAGAGAGAGAGAGAGAGAGAGAGAGGAGGAGGAGGGAGGGAGGGAGGGAGGGAGGAGAGAGACGAA